ATGCGGTATTGCCCAAGGCAAATCGCAAGTGCTCTGACTGGGGTCGCCTCGTCAAGCTGCATCACAGTAAGAAGAGCGGCGGGCAGCAGGCCAACGACGACGTGGGCAGTGGCAGGGGCTCCTACCGCCTCGCCCTCGCCCCAGCTCCTCCAGCTCGGTCGCCGCTGGCGGCCTCGGAGGGAGCGCTGGCGGCGGCAGCGGGCGACGGAGCCCTGCAGGAGGCGCTGCAAGCCAGGATCGCCGCTCCCAAGGCCGCGGGCCAAGGGACGGCCACCACCTCCCGAGGAGGCGCTCCGCAAGGGGGTGGGGGCGGTCAAGGACGCCGGGCTCAAGCGCGAGCAGGCCATCGCAGGGCTGCAGCGGTGCCCGGCCAACCTCGACAGCGCGAGCGGCCCTCGGACCCACCAGGCGCTCGCGGCCAAGTGCGGCGTGTGCGGCGTGCTGCCCATCGCCTGCGACAAGGACGACCAGGTGCTGTTCGGAATCCAGTGGGATGAGTCCTTCTTCAGTACCAGCTGGAGGCCGAGCCCGCGGGGGCCGACGCGCTCCCCGGTCTCGAGGCCGACCTGAAGAAGGCCAAGCAGCACCCCACCTCGAGAAGAATTCGGAGGTTCAGGCGCGGCTCACGAGGGCCAAGGAGCTGCAGCAGCAGATCCAGACTCGGATGGCCAAGAAGCGCAGGTGCTAGAACGAGGATAAGGGCGGTGGCGATGCAAGTGTGCAACCTAGTGCGCCTGCCGCCCCCGCTGCAGCCGCAACCGCCGCGGCCACGGAGTCCGCGGAGGAGGCGGCTGCCGCCAAGGACGCCCGCATCAAGGAGGCAGCGGCCAAGCTCACGGCGGCCAGGGAGGAGGTGGCGCGTGCAGCTAAGGTGTCCCAGAGTGCGGCCAACATCCCAGTATCATGATCATGGCGAGGCGCTGGCGCGGTGTGTGCGGCCGCGGCCAGCTGTGCCTCCGGGGGTTGGCATCTTCGGTCGGGTGTGCGCAGTCGTCGATTCAATATGCGTGGGACAGGCCTTCACTCTCCAAGAGTGGGGCTTGGCGGGCAGTCGTGGTGGCCAACATCACGGGTTTTGGGCAAGATAGCTTGGAACCTTTTTACCAGCGATGTTTGCTTGCTTTGCCACCACCTCGGCGCTGTTGAGTCTTACGTGGCCACCAGCAAGGACATTTGCACTGGCGCCACGAGGCCAAGAAGGCCAAGTTCAAGATCATGGTTGATCCTGTTCGTGTCACAGGGCGGGACAGACGTTTCACGTGACAGGGCCAACGAGGGTGGCGAGATCTGGCTCAATCGCCATCACCTTCGGATCCAGCATATCGGAGCAGCTGATGCAGCATGTCGCGACCTCATCTCAGATGGCACCTCGGTGGTCGACGGTTTCACGGCCACCATCCTCCACCAGCACGGTATTCAGTCGTCGCGATCGCATTCTACGGCTACTGTTCCGGCGGCTTCGGTGGCCGGAACTTGCAGAGGTACGCGCGTCTTGGAGCATTTGCCTCGCAGTTTCGACTTCCATGGTTTATCGCAGGGGACTTCAACCTGTCTCCTGAAGGTTTGACGGCCAAAGGTTTCGTGGACAAAGTTGGCGGAGTCGTTTTTACTCCAGGAACGCTTGTCTCTTGTGAGTCCGGCAGGGGTGCACTTTTTGATTCTGTCGTTGCCAGTTATTATTGCGTGCCGTACACTGCAGGCGTCTCGGCAGTTGTTGCAGTCCCATGGCGACCGCACTGTGCCTTGGAGATCCGCCTCCGAGGCTCAGGCAGCCAGTTGTTGTGTCGTGAGTTGGTCTTGCCAGCTCGCCTTCCGCAGACGCCGAGGCCCTGCGCTCGCCCCACCCAGGGTCCAAGCCCAGTATTGCCAAGCAGCAGCGTAGGATTCAGCAGCAGGTGTCGAGGGAGTGCGTCTCTGAGGCAACCCCCACCATGTTTGGCGACCTCGAGCACTCCTGGAAGAACCCCGTCTTTTTGGGAAGTAGCCTCTGACTGTGAGACCGACGTCGGGCTAGATGTTGCGCGTTCTCTTTTTGACGAGACGGCTGGCGCCGCCCCCGCCCCCCGTCAGCCCAGGTTCGAAGCGACCCAAGCGACGGGTTGCCAGCTTGGCGAACGCGATGCGGAAAACAGGACCTCATTGTCGTTGGTTGGAGATGAGGTAGGTTTCGTGGGTGTGCTTCCTTCGACACACGCACGGAGTGGTTGAACACGCCGTGTTTCGAGCTGGAACCTGTTAGTTCGCCTGTTTCCCGACTGCCGGGGGGGGGTCAGGTTCATTTTGGGGGAGGTCGGATCCGCCCCTCTGATTCGGTCTTTTTCTCCTCCTCCGCCTCCCGATAGTGGTTTTGCTCTTCATGTGGTTTCTACGGGGCAGAACAGCTCAGGAATAATCTTGCGTCTGAATGTTCTGGGCATCCTAACATTGTCAGGCGCAGGTACCTCGATCCTTTTGTCCAGGGGAAGCGGCCCAAGGATCAGGCGGCCAATCGTGCTAAGGCTTCCAGTTGGCCAGTCAGGAATTTCGCATCGCGGAGGGGTCCATTTAATTCCTCTCCTTTTCTTCCTCCTCCTCCTGCCTCCTCCCCCTCCCCCTCCTCCTCCTCCCCTTGTTCCTCATCCATATTATTAGTATTATTGTTCGTGTTACGATTACCCTGCTAATTCTTATCATTCTTGTAGTAGTTTCAATAAAACTAGTAGTAGTAGCCATACTAATACTTAGTATCATTCATCATGATAAGCTTCATTCATTCATTCACGCACACATTTATTCATTCATTCATTCATTCATTCATTCATTCATTCATTCATTCATTTATTCATTCATTCATTCATTCATTCATTCATTCATTCATTCATTCATTCATTCATTCATTCATTCATTCATTCATTCATTACATTTTCATGTATTCGCATTCTTGTTGGTATCATTATCCATGTGGTTTGTTCTTAGTATTAGTACTGTTTTTTATACGCATCATTATTACTATGATTATGATTATCATTCCTGTTCGTATTCGTAGTATTATCATCATCCTTATTAGTATGTTTCTTCTTCTTCTTCACCATCATGTTCTTCTTATTATTCTTCTTCCTCCTCCTTCTCATCATCATCATTGTTTTCCTGCTCCTCCCCCTCCTCCTCCTCCTCCTCCTCCTCCTCCTCCTCCTCTTCCCCTTCCGCCTGAAGGCACCCGCCGTCCCACGGTGGGGCGGCGGTGAGGCCTACAGCTCTGGGAGGCCCCGGGCCCGCGTGGCGGCGTGGCCCCCCCCTTGAGGACACGCTGACGTGGACTGGGCGCGGCGCTCCGCAGGGGTGCGATAACCGGGCGGGGGAAAGATGCACGTCTCGGGCTCTCACGGCCTCCTCTGGGACCATCACAGGCCCTTTGAAAGACCCTCAAGGGCCTTTTTCTGGAACCCTCGGTGCCCCCCCACTTGTCGCCCCCCCTCCCCCCCCCCTCTCCTTTTGCGCGACGCCCAGAATGAACGACGAAAAGAATCGGGTCTTGCGCGAGATGACGTGGCGACCCTGCGGGGTGGCTTGCACGGGGCGACAGCGCGGCACGCTGCCTCGGCAGCGAGGGCGTTTCCGCGCTCGCTTGCACGGGCAGCTTGCGCGCCAATGTCGGCGCAGACAACTCCGTTTTCTCGCGACGCCCAAATGGACTGCGGAGGGGGAGGAGGTGGACTGCGGAGGAGGAGGAGGAGGAGGAGGAGGAGGAGGAGGAGGAGGAGGGAACGCCTCCCGAAGCACGAAGCCGGCGCCGCCCGATCTGGCAACACAGCGCGTCGATCTCGTGCACGCCGGTCGGGGAAGAAACACAGCAGGAACTTGACCACAGGACGCCCTTCTCCTCCCCCTCCTCCTCCTCCTCGCTCCTCCTCCTCCTCCTCCTCCTCCTCCTCCTCCTCCTCCTTCTCCTCCTCCTCCTTATCCTCCGCAAGAAACCAGAGGGAGCGTTTTTTTATTAGGCCTTGCGACATGGGGCGAAGGGGGGGGTAGTCTGGCTCCGGACCTCTGCTTCGTGCGCCTGTTTGCAAGAGTGCGCCCCATGGGGGAGACGCCACCTGCTCGAAAAAGGCGCAACAGAAACAGCCAAGATCTACTCTATGGCAATGGGGGGGGGGCCCGCGCCGATCGGCCAAACAATTAGTAAGAAAACGATTACAAACCCTGACGCCCCGGGAAGTCCATTGATGTTTTGGTGTGGGAACGTCACCTTTTCCATGAAACAACCCAAAAGAAATCCAGGGCACCCTGGAGGCAAGCAGGGTGTTCCTTGGCACGAGTTTCCACGGTACAAAAAGTAGATTGGGCTCGGGCCCGCCCAGATTATGGCAAAAACGCCCACACAGATCGATGATTGAAGTAGGAAGGCGCTTGAAATGAGTTGGGATCTGGGAGTCCAGGGATACCTGCTTTCAACGACCGCTGAGCACGGAAAACGGGACCCGCCGCTCTCTGAGGCCTCCGACGTTGCGGCAAAATGCGGCATCGCGGTGCGTTCTGATGCATCGCGACGAGAAGGAGGAGGAGGAGGAGAAGGGAGGAGGAGCAGGAGGAGCTACCCTGAGCCCGACCCCATATCCTTGAGGCATTTTGTGGAGCCAGGCTGATCCGTGATGGCCCCAGGGCCCGAAGCCGGGCGAAACCGCGGGGTGAGACAGAATTGCTGCGCCCGGATCTCGGGGATCGGCTGAGCCTCAGGGTTTTCAGGCCCTGGCTCGGGCCTCCGCCTCCGGCGGCCGTTCGGGATGATTCTGGCCCCCCCAGCACGCTCTCGACGAGGCGCAGCTGCCGGGAGGCATCCCGAGGTGAAAAAACTGCAGGGAACAACGAGAGTTTAGGCAAACTTCCAAAACAAAAACTCCGCACGGATCTCGAGGTCATCCACGTTCGCGTCTCCTCGAAGCCCTCATCCACTCGCGGGAGAAGCCTGCCTCTCCTTGGCGGCGGCCGAGGGTTCCGAACTTGGTGGGGCCCCAGAAAAGTGGAGGGTGAAAGAGGGGGTCTGCAACAGGGGGTCTTCAATGGGGGCTGAATGGCCCATGTATGGTCCAGGGCTTGGGCCCCCCCCCCTCCCCCAATGCTGATGCCATTGGCCCCCCCCCCGCGCGATGGTGCCCCCCCCTGTGGGCGTGGCGTGGTGCTGCGCTGCGGTGCCCCCCCCCTCGGTGGATGTGGTGTGATGCTGTGGTGGTTCAGAAGTGGGCGTGGCGTGGTGCTGCGCTGCGGTGCCCCCCTCCCCCCCCCTGTGGATGTGGTGTGGTGCTGTGGTGGTTCAGAGGTCGTCGTCGTCGTCGTCGTCGTCGTCGTCCTCGTCGTCCTCGTCCTCGTCGTCATTGTCGTCGTCGTCGTCGTCGTCGTCGTCGCCGTCGTCATCGTCGTCATCGTCGTCGTCGCCGCCGCCGCCGCCGGCGTCGTCGCCGCCGCAGCCGTCGTCGTCGTCGTCGTCGTCGTCGTCGTCGTGGTCGTCGTCGTCGTCGCCGTCGTCGTAGTCGTCGCCGTCGTCGTCGTCGCCGTCGTCGTCGTCGTCGCCGTCGCCGTCGTCGTCGTCTCTGGGACCATACCATCTGGGGGGGGGGGCCCGAGGAATCCTGGGACCATACCATCTGGGGCCAGGGGGGGGCCCGTGAACCCTCGACCCTGGATCATGTATGCTCAATGTATCGTTGATGTATGTAATCGGGTACGATTGGCATCCAATGTTGGCGGTCACTGAGGGCCAGTCGTTCTTGCCCGCGCGTTGCCCGCGCGGGCACACGCGCCGTCCATCCATCATCGTTCATGCGTGCGGGCGTTCTTACATATTGCGCGTGGGGCGGCGAGGTGGAGTGCAACTGTGTCTTGATTGTTCGATTGATGATCGCGTATGTTCCCAAACGATGATTTCTCGACCCCCAAGACAGATTTGGAATGGGTCCCGCGTTTCTCCCAAAACGTGAATTCACATGTTCCTTTTTTCCTCAACGTGAATTCACATTCTGGCCCCTTATAAAGAATCCTACACAAAATTCCAAAATGTGAATTCACATTTTCCTTTTTTTCCAAAATGTGAATTCACATTTTGCTTTTCCCAAAATGTGAATTCACATTTTGCTTTTCCCCACAATGTGAATTCACATGTTGCCCTGGCCGTCAAGATCCCCAAAACTGAGGCGCAGTGTTCCGCATGTCAGATGGACTGGGCAGATTTCGACACTCACCTGACCGCTTTCGTTTGTTCCAGCCTTTTCTTTTTGCGCCCTCCGCGCACGTTGCCTGCGTCGCCTTTCCCGAGCCCCCCGCCCCCTTGCGCATGGGTGCAGGCGGGGGGCTTCAATTGGTTCCCCCGCCGAACACAGCAATCGAGGATGTATCGCCCATTCATGGCCCATAAAGACATCATTGCCGGGACCCTGCGCTCGACCCCCACTTTTACCCTCCAAGAAAATCGACCAAGAGTGGGGACGAGGCCAAACTGCTCAAAATCGGTACCCAGGCCTCTCCCCGGGTCCGGGGTGCAGTTTTCCACCCCGGAATCAAGTTTTCACCGCTTCGGGCCCGCCCGAATACGGCCCT